ACGACGGCAAAAATTATCCGAATCACGCTGGAACATTTCGAGATTACGCTTGGAAATTTCCAAACGTCGCTTTTTGTTTTCGTCGGTTAACATTCGTGGCACCCATCTTGCAGACACTTTTTTGAACCACAATGAATCAATTAAAATGGATTGAACGCTACCAAAAGATATCTTTAGGATCTCAGCTATATGTTTTATAGTCATTCTTCTGTCTTCCAAAACCAGATTCTCAACCTTTTTGACATTTTCTTCTGTAACGGAGGTTGAAGGCCGCCCAGAACGCGGGTCATCTTTACAGCTTGATCTACCTCTTTTAAATTCAGCCACCCAGTACGCAACCGTAGAATAGGGTACAGCATCACCCCCTAATGTCTGCTGAATGTCCAAAAAAAATTTCCTTCGTAGACATTTTTTTTTTCAAACTGAGATATTTTATCACCGCACGTAACTCACTTTTATCCATAATTTTGACTTTTTAGCAACTCGTTGCACAAAAAAAAATTATTACATGCGAACGAACTGACAAAAACAAGTGATGATGTATTTGTGTGATGGCAATAAAGAAGTTTTATTTATTATTTATTTATTTTTAAAATGATAAACTTATTACTCTTTTCAACTATGACTCGATTGTAGTGATACGAGTAGGTGAACTTTTACTTATACCTACAGGTTTGTGCGGAACCCTCGGAGCGCGAGTCTGACTCGCACTTGACCAGTTTTGTATTCTAAACCATGTGTTTGTTTTTCAGTTTTTAGAACCGGTTGCGGTGCTAGACGCGGATCATAATGTAACAAAAGTTCATTGTCATCCATAACATCAATGCGTATTTTTTATCGTGTTATATAAAAAAAAACTTATCACAAATTAAAGACTTCGTTATGGCGTATGTAGTTATCATAATTGTACTTATCTTAATCTATCGTCATTCCTGTACAAAGATATCGTGCCAACAGCGAGCGCGGCGACAGCGGCCGTGAGCGACTTGCAAGCAAATAATATAATATTATTATGGAATTAATCACCCTAAGTCCTGTTTATACATCTTTAACACTACGTTTTGATATAATTTTATTCATGGAAAGGAAAATTAAATATGCTTGAAAACCGCAATATAACATTTTATTTCAAAATCTTCTAAGGTTAGTTGTATAGCATTGTATGTAAGCGTGAGGACATTCTATAAACAAACTACTCTTACGATGACAAGGGTGGTAACGTCGGACTTACACTGGTTGTTCCGTACTACGGCACGACCGGCGGGGAAGCAGCGCGGGGGTCCCTTCCAGACCTCACCCGCCGCCCCGCGCGCCCTCACACCGCGACCTTCAGTTGCGCTTCAGCACTACGCGCGCCGACACATCAATCATATTTGTCTATTTTGTACATCTTTTATTCTTATTACAATCATCAGCAACCTACCAGCCTTTCATTACAACATACAGTCCACTCGCTCAACACTGGTTAAAACCCATGATGATCTTCTCATGCCTTGTGCCAGAATCACTAGGATCAAGGGAACAAACTGAGTCATCCGATCCCAGCTAAAACATTGGGTAACCCGACCTCCACCACTCTCCCCTCCTTAGTGGCGTTATCGTCTTCCTGCCCTCACTCATAAGCGTCGCAAGAGTCTCGTAAACTCTTCATAGTAGAACAGAAGATATACCTACTATTAATTTTAACACCAAAATCCCTTACCATGTTATCTATTATTTTAAGGTGACTAAGCGGAGGCTGTGAGACCTCACTAGGGGAGGGGAGAACACAAGGTCCAGTGCGATAAGTAGACGGTAGACAGGGTCCAGGAAAAATGTAGAAATCGAGGAAGTGGAGGCTGTGCCAAATATCATAAAAGAGAGATAATAGCAGTAACACAAACAATGTCATTCATCTACACATTTGTCGTTGATTTCCGCGACCAAAATCGTTATATGAAACATATTGTTATCTCTGTTTTGTCAAAGATACTGAGATAATGAGATGGATGAAACCAACGATTACGACTAATTATTATGATTATGTCCATCGCAAACTATTCCTAATTCTAACTTAATGATGTGGCCTTATTTTAAGGTTATCAAATTATTGAGCATAGCTACTTCACCAACACTGCAACATACAAGGCCAATATATGTTGCAGTACAACTTAGCTCTACAATGTCACTTGCTACTACATATTATCATCCCTAACATTCTCTTTGATAACAACAGAGGCAGCAATATGTGGAAAAAAAATGTAACTTCAGTCGAAACCCACAGTTGCAAGTTGTGTAAGTAATTGATTTTGATATTAATCTCAAATTTCAAAGTAGTAAATGTGTGTAGCGGACTCTACAAGTGAAGATGCAATCAATGCAAACTATGTAGTAACTGAGTCAAATGTATCGTGTAGTTGTACTTTGTAGAGGACTAGCGACTACTCCCAGGCAGGGCGTCGAGATGGCACCGATACGGCGATAACAATGTTGATAATTAATGCCTCCGCTGTACTTGTACTGTTTGAATACGGATAAGGCGCAGACATTTAAATAACTCGTTAAGTTAATTGTAAACACATTGTTTGCACCGCGCCAGTCGTTTTATGTGACGTTTGCGTCGCCATTGCCGAGCGCGCCACGCCGCAAGCCGCACACCGCATGCCGCATGGTCGCATTACATAACAATACTGGGGGCTTAGTCGATGACAACCGATATTTTCCATTTAAACAATAGCATAAAAAAATTAAATAAAACACCATTAAAAATTATAATAATTTATTGGTAACACGGCGCCGATTCTCGTAACACTCGGCACACTTACACAACGACACTTATTTTTGGGATAACATAATTTGAACATAATCACTATTATGAAACAAGTAAAACAGACATAAACTGAAATAAAAATATATACTTTCATTATCACGATTTATTGCGATCTACAACATCCCCCCCCCCCCCCCCCCCCCCCCCCCCCCCC